TTACTATTTATAAATTTGACTTCATGCCAATGAATATTCAGCCAGAAAATAATAATTCAACTCTTAAAGAAGCTATCATGAGTTATGGTAATCTTCCTGAATGAAAAGCAAGGGCCTGTAGAAGACTCTAGTGAGTTGATGAATGGACTTCAAGTTTCTGTTAATTTTTTGAAATCATTTGTAGAGTTGTTGCATATATGACCTTATTTTTAGAGTGAGAGTGCATAGATTTTGTCAGATCCTCTAATAGGTCTGTTACCTATTAAAAACCTCTTGTTGGGCCTCCCTGGTGGCGCAAGGTTTAAGACGCAACCTATGAAGCAATCTGCAGCCACTGCAGCAAGGGTTTGATTCCCGGCTAGCCAGGAAGCAACCCACATGGCACAGCAGACCTCTCCTGACTCACCCGCTGCTCCCTTCAGCAGTGTACTTTGGTCAATATGCCTGTTGTGTTCCCCATTCTGTCTCTGTGAATCCTCTCAACCCCACACACACCTCTGGTCTGTACCCCAGCTCTTGTATGCATAAACAAATAAATCTTTAAAAAAAAAAAACACCTCTTTTTACCATTTCAGTTGAAGTCCTCACAGTCTACCCAGTGATCAAAGCTGAAACCCAACCATCATCAGTTGTTATTTCTGCTCACTCAGATCCATATTTTATTAACTCCCATGATAAATCTAGTTCTTACCATTTTTTCTGTTCCAACTCTCTTGAAGGAAGCTTTTGTTTTCATAAATAACAATGATTTCTAAAAAAAGAATTCCCAATTACAAGAGGAGCAAGATTTCTTCAAACATGCATCTCATGGAGGAGAGGTTGAGCATGTGTCATGTGCTTTGTAAAAATATCCCAGTTTATTCTGATTTGTCTTTCTGAGGATGTGAACCAGTCAGTCAGAAAGCACAGGTCTCACTGATTCTCTCCCCCACCCCTTTCCTCTCTCTCTCTCTCTCACACACACACACATACACACATACAGGTGCACACACACATCAGTTTTTTTACTTCATTTTCACTGCCCTTATCCCAATCTGTGCCCCCATCATTTCTTACTGAGGTGCTTACAGTGTTCTCCTACTTGGTTTCTATGTCTTCAGTATCTTATCTCCAGTTCATTTATAACATGTAACTAGAATTATGCCTCTATTAATTCATACCAAAGGCAATTGCTGATACTGACTATTTTTGACTATTGGAAGAGAAGATTCTCTTATGGTTCAAGCTAACATAGTTATGATTGTGCCATTTCTTGGCTTAATGTCTTTTTATGGTTACTTTTTCTTTGTGAGAAAAAGACTTCTCACAGACTTCTCCAGACTTCTCAGTATGACATTTAGGAGCATGCTCTCTTAACAATAGATCCTGAACTTGACTGCCTGACCAGAATTTGAAAACTCAAATGCCTACAGGGATCAAATGAATAGCATCAATGTTTGGCATGAGTTAGAATATGACCTAGAAATGCTACATATGGGACATGGTGATTGTGAGGTGGCATGCCCTCTCTGAAGAGGCTTCTCCAGCAGATAGCTGCTATAGTCCCATATTTCTGATTTTTCAGAAAAAGCTGGAAATCCAGAAGCTTATCAGAAATATTTTGATTTTTCAATATTGATAACAAACATGTTGTAACATGTATTATGAATTAGGCTTTATTCTAAACTCTTTTCAATGTGACCAGCTAATTAAAAATCCTTTCTGTTAATCTTAATGGTTTCCTTCTTTCTTTTATGGCACTTTTACCTCCACTTTTTCCTTCAGCACACAACTCAGATGTATGTACATTGGGCATTCAAAAATGTTTACTACAATATGTAAGTGAATGAGTATTCTACAGAAGTATATTTGAAGCCCATTTATTTATTTAACAAACACATTTGGCCACCTGTTATACCAGACAGACTTTTCAAAGAGTCTAATTGTTCTTGTTAATGTATCATAAACTCTCCTGGGTTATACTTTCCCAAAGCATATATTATGATAGGATTTTTATCCTTTGCCTAAGCCTTTTGCAAGGAACCAGTTTCTTGGTACCTCTATCAATGCCCAATGCATAGTGAATTCTTTTCTTTCTTGAAAAAATGGCAATTAGGTAGAAAGACAAAATTTCTGAAAGGCAATCCTTTCCAAAAACTCAACTATCCTTGTTTCCAACTGCATGGTAGAACAGGGATTGCAATCAAGTTGTGTTTGAATACTGCATGATAACCTAATGATGGAGTTTATTGAAGAAGATACTGTACTTTGTTTAAACACATGCACACATGCACAAAAAAAATAAGGGAACATAAGGAGAGAAAAATGACACAAATAGAAAACAATTATGAAGATATCACAGCAACTAGAAATGAAATTATTAAATACATATATAATCACATTAAACACATTTTTCTAAACATTCTTTAAGATTGAGTGAATCAATGTCACTTTCCCAAGTTTCTTAATTATAACATCTCAAATGGAAATATAATCACTATAGCTGTCAATACATATTGCTGAATAGTACCTGATCACACATTTAGTGATAACAACACATATGTATTATCTTAATATTTCCATAGATCAGCAGTCTGGACACAGTTTAGCTGAATCCTCTACTTAGAATCTCAAAGGATATAATAAAGGGGTTAGCTAGACTGCATTCTAATCTGAAGGCTATGTAGAGATAGAATCCATCTCTAAGCTTACCCAGGTTGTTGGCAGAATTCACTTTCCTTAGTTGTATCATTGAGGGTCCCAGCATTTTTCTGAATATTGTCTAGAAGCTGAGTGCAGGTCATTAACTTCACCTATAGTTCCTAGTCACATGTACTTTTTCAATGTGGATGCTAACTTTACATGTCTACAAGGAGAGGTTTGCTCACTGGAAAAGTTCCCATTCCTTTTCTTAAAGGAAGCAGGCCGGATTAGTGCAGCCCATGCAGGATAAGTTCCTTTTTGACTACCTCAACAATCAATGCCTGAAACCAAATTCCAACCACAGAATTTCTTCACTGTTGCCATATTCTGTTGAGTAGAAGAAAATCACAGATTATGACCTAGACTAAGGGTGTGTAGAGGGCTTCAATGCCAGGGGGCAGGATCATGGAAATCTAGGTGCTGGCCCCTAAAAGCCACAACCCCAAATACCCTCATCTGGTAAAGAAAGGATAGAGTAGATATTTATCATTCTACTTTACTTCCAGGAACGTGGAGGATTACACTTCTCTATCATTTTAAAGTCAATGAAATTTGAGCAAAGGTGTCTAGTATCACTTCCAAGAAGATCTGTTTAATACTGGGTCTTAGCTAGTCCTCATTTCCTCTGTTGGGGCAAACCTCATGATTTTTGTTGCAGTGGTAGCAGCTTAAATGGTGAAATAGCATCAACTGGTCCCTGAATATTAATCATGAACTACCTACAAATCCATACGACACATATATCATGAGCACGATCTAAACCTGTGTTAATTTTAAGCTATTGGCATTTTGGGATTGTTTATTAAGACACCGTATCCTATCTTAACTAATAAAAAATTGAAATGGAATAAAGTTTTATACCACTATTGAATTTGGGGAGTTAAAATAATTAAAGAGTAAAAATCATAGTATTTGTAAAAATTTGTGCAGAATTTTAAAGCAAGATGGCCACTTCCTGTATATCCTGTGAATTTGATATCACACTTGATATATGATACCAATTGGGACTGATAAAATAGTAACTATAGTACAGATGAACAGTAAGATGTGCCTCCCCAAAGGATTCCTCTAATCAACAATTTATCAATTTATATAAGCAAACTAATCCTCTAAGTCATCAGCCCCTTTGATAAAACTGCATATAACTCTCCCATGAGGTAGAAGGAATCTATTTAAGACAGTCTTAGAAATTTTACCCAAGCTTTGAAATGAATAATCTTTAAGGTGAATTAAAATTCTGTACCATATTGCTCCAAGCTTGCTCTTCATTTTACTTTACTTTTTTTTTTTAACTCCCAATTCTCTTGAATCTTTTTTTTTTTTTTTTTTTTCATTTTTCTACAGTGATTTCTGTCTAGATGGAACACTGGAAAAATAATTGTTTGATTTTTTTTTTTTCTGGTTAGAGATCAAGAAGAAAGTATAGTTGAGGAGGACCTACAAGTGTGTGTTTTTGTATAGCTGTGAAAAGTAGTTGTTGTGAGACACAGTTGAAGCAAGAAGAAACATTCGAAGGGGTGAACTGAAAAAAAATAGTTTTGTAATAAGATTACTTTATAATTCCTAACTAGACTCCATGAATAGAGGCAGACAGTTCTATTTTATCGAGTCATCTTTGCCTGTCATTGGAGTGCTATTTTCTCAGATAAATGCTTTCAGGTAGCAATACTTTAACTCAGCTAAAAGGGAGGGTGGCTACCCTGTCTAATTGGAGGAAGTCATGCAATTTATCCACTTTTTGAAAGAGACATAATAATATGTCAAATTCTGCAGCCTACCCTTTTGGTGAGGAGCAATTCACTTTCTCTTTCCAGTCCACCAGCCCATTGAAGCATTTCATGGAAATGTCAGAGGCACCTGGAAAAGATCAATCTTTCTTGGTTAGGAGACTTTGAGAAAGAAGAAACATCAGGGCATGTATGAAAAAGAAACAATAGGTCAGCTAGCATATTACTTAAATCTCATTCCCTCTTTAATATTTCTCATATATATTTTCCATAATATCTATTATATATATGTATTATATACCATGCATTATATAGAATATGTAATGTTTATGTACTTTCTTTAAAATTTATATATAATCAATTAGCACAGAATCTGCTCAGTAATTAATTACTCTGGTTACTAAGGAGATGAAAGTAGAGCCTGGGGAAAATTTTGAGTTTTGAATCTTAGCATTTTGCTAACATTCTTGAATTTTTCAAAATTTCTGAAATTACTTCAATTAGAAGCATTTCACACCTACTATGAAATAGATTTGATTATGTCTAGACAAGCATAGAATTTTTAATGTGTGTGTCTTTGTTACTTCACAGATGTGTCTATTTTCTCACTTTCAAAAGAAGTCCTGAAAACATGAAGTCCTGAAAATTTTCCTGAACATTGACAAGAAGCAGAATGTGGTACCCTGTTTGAGCATATTTATATTCGTTAAGTTTAAGTAAAACAATGAGGGTTAAGTGAAACCAGAGAGATTAAAAAAAAACCAAAAAGACCAATGAAATTATTTCTCTATGTGCTGAATCTATACATTTGAGGTTTTCTATGTGTCTGTGTTTGTGAGCTAATCTTGATTTGTGTAACAGAACAGAAAAAATGGAATAAAATGAAAATTATCATTTTACATCTTAAAAAAATAATAAGCTGAAAGCTTAAGGCTCGCTTTTACATGACTTGCTTAACTATAAGACAATTTTAGTTTTAGTAATGTTAAATCATTCTTTTAGATAAACTGCTGCTTGAACTATAAACCATTGCTTTTAGGAAGTCATTTAAAGCATAATCCATTTTTTCATTACCTCAAGATTTATTTCATTTGTATAAAAAATAGTTATTTTGATAGTATTAAGTTTTATAAGGACATCTAAATATGACTGTCAACCATTCTCCTTACTGAGTCCTGTCTTTTCCAACTATCCATTTCCAATCAATTTCTCTAAGGCTTTTTGATTTTTAAAGTTTTTTTCCCCTCAAATTTATATATTTTTCCCACCATGACTCCCCTTTTCTATTAGCCCACTCCCTGCCCCCATTTCACTAGCCCCACTTGCTCTTGCCCACCTCTGATCCATTTCCCACATTTGGTAGAACACTATTTGTAAGACATATTTGAACATGTCACCCTCCACTTGGAATATGTCAAAACGGTCTTGTATTCTTCTTCTTCTTTTTTTTTTTTAAGATTTATTTATTTACACAAGCACTGGGTACAGTCAGAAATGCGGGAGGGTGAGAGAATTCACCAGAGCCAGAGCGGGGAACAGAACAGGCAGACTGATGAAGTACACTGCTGAGGGGAGCAGCGGGCATGGCAGGAGAAGTCTGTGCGCTATTTGGGACCCTCGCCAGTGGCTGGGGATGGAACCGGCGCTGCAGAGGCTGCAGGCAGCTTCACAGTCCAGTGCTCAACCACTGCGCCACCCGGGAGGCCCCGGTCTTGTGTTCTTATCAAGAAAAGCAAGATGTATGGTTGACAAATTCCTGTAGTATCTGCTTATCCTTCTTCCACTTCCAGGCCCACATCCGAGTCCCGTCTTGTACCTCCCCATGCTCTCCATCATGCAGCTGCCTTGCCTGACTTGCTTTTTTGTGGATGTATCATTCTCTCTACTGTCTTAGGGCCTTTGCACATCCTGTTCTCTGCGTCTAAAACCCTATTTCTGCTTATCTGTTTTGAGGCTACATACTTTAAGCCTCATCTCGAGAGTCAGTTCTATAAGAAAACCTTTTCATTGACCCCAGATTAGACCTATTGTAGTTTTTCTTTATAGTGCCTTTTTCAAAGGTCTTAATTATAAATTGTGCTATTATGGACTTTCAGAGTTTCAAAGTACAAATGAGTGTAAAGATATAATTCCCTCTTGTCTGCCCAATAGAATTTCATTTCTATCCATGATGCAGATAAATATTGCCACTTTAGAATTTTTTTCAGTTTCTTTCAGATAAATTTTATTCTTTTAGTTTAAGACTTTTCCCTTCCTCATATCTTTTCCTTATCTTTGGGGATATATTCGTTTCTGAAAGTAAGGTGGACTGGCCTACCTTATTTATAATGGTGTCTGTTCACTGACCTGAGATGAGATCTACTTGTTATCTTTTACTTCTTTCCATGATGGCATTTCTGGATGCTACCCCTGATCCTGCAGTGGCCTCTGATTGCCACATCCATGCCTTCTTTCTCATCATAATTCCATCTGAGAGACCCAATGACCTAATTTCAGGACTTGGTTTTCTCTTGATTCTAGGGGTTGGAGGTTATGACCAAAGCAAGTTGGTTTTCCATACCCCCCTTGGTCTGAGGTACCCTGTGAAGCTGCCATGAGGTCTGTTTGCCTAGGAAGTATCACTCAGCCAGAGCTACAGAAGCGCTGTGGTGCCGGGGTAGAATTTGACTTTTCTAGGAGCCTTGCCTTCTTCCCAGAATGCAACAGGGCAGGTGAGAGCCTGCTTGAGCCCATTTACCTGCAGGTTTGTCTCAGGAGGAAGCAGAGCCAGGGCTCTTTCTCAGCAGTCCACGCTAACCACAGGCTTATGGTCTTGCTTTCTCCCCCACTTTGGATGTTCTTCTATCCTCGGTGAAAGCCAGCTCTCCACTGATTACCTTCTTATATACATTTATTGGTAAACTTTGCAACCATCTCCTTAGAACTTCACCTCCATTTGATATTCAGAGTTAAACTTTTATTTTAATCCTTTTCCTGTTGACTTTCAAGAGAATTGTCCTTGAAATAAGACTTTAAAATTTCATTTAGCATCTCAATTGACTTCTTTTTTTTCATAAGCTGATTCACACTTTCATAAGCCAATAAGAATTTTAAGAAACACTTGGTTATTTTTAAACTATTATCTTTCTACCTGTGGTTGATTTTTGTATCTTCCACAGTATTGTAAATTTTCCAAGGCCAGCATGCTGCTTTTTGCATACTATTGTATACCTGAGCCTACATTAGAGGTCTTTATTAATAAATATTCTTGAAGAAATGAATATATAAACAAGAATATTAGCAAGAGGAAATAAACTTCACTTTTAGTAGGTTGGGTCCAAACACCCATGTAGAAATTTAAAAATTTCTTCTCAAGTAGGTAGTCTGACCTGGAGTCTCCCTATCTTCCATCTATTCTAATACTACATTCTTATCTTACTTTGGGCATGTCCTTAAGAGGTAAAAGCCTGGGTCTTCTTTTATATCTAGCTACATGGAAACAGGTAAGAACATGTATAGTAGCTACAAAAAGCTTACAATCCACAGAAAAGTGTGGAGAATTGAGAGAACAACAGAGAGTATGGTTTCTTTTCAGGTGAGAAAATGTAAAATGTTACTTTGTTGTCATAGTTGTATACATGAAAAGGAAAAGAACCACTTATTATATTTCATATTGTAATGCACAGTGGCCTGTCATCCATAAATGCTTCTCAAGTGATTACTTAGAATCTGATGACTCTCTTTTTTCTTTGGGTAGAAGGAAACAAGAGAGAACAGAGAGGACTCTCCTTACTTTCTGTCTTTAGTACTCTTCTTATTTAACCTCTATAGGAAATATTAAGGCTAAACTGGCCCCCAAATCAACTAATCTTTCACTGTGTTTAACAACAAACAGATGTCTGGGCATGGCCAACTGATGGAAACATACAGTATTGGGAGTTGAAATCCAAATGTAAAATAAGATTCTATCTTCTTTTTCCCACCTACTTTTTTATTATTGGCTTTTACAGTAAGAGAAATTTTCCAGTGAAGTTTCAATTTTAGAGGTCAAGTCCCTCTGCTTTATTTTGATCACATTTCAGATTTCAAAGAAAGAAAACTGATTACAAAGAGAAACACCACAGAAGAAAATGAAACTAAACGGTCTTGAGCATCACAATGCAACAGTTTAGACAAAAGGCTTGGGAAAATAACCAGAGAAACATTCCGGAGGTTTCTTAAGACCACCATAAAATAGAAAAGGCCTGAAACTCTATTTAGATTATCATTTCAGAGGTATAAACAATCACTGAAGTAATTTTGTCCATCATGCATAGTAATCACTTCATTTAGTAAGTTGCTCAAGGTCATATTCTAATTCAGTGACAAATGTTAGGCAGAACTTTTATCTTTGACTCCCAACTAAGCCAGCCAGACTCTCTTTTCAAATAAAGTGAAGATTAAAACAGGCATGGGAAAGGGAAGAAAGCTAGATTCATGGTATCTGATAGATGTGACCTAAAGTCCCTGAATTCCTGTAAAGATGCCCCAATCTGCTTTAACTGGCCCCTGCCCTTTTAAAATGCTCCCTCGGGGGCCTCTCCAGTGGCGCAGCGGTTGAGCGCTGGGTTGCAAAGCTGCCCGCAGCCTCTGCAGCACTGGTTCGATCCCCGGCTGCGGGGCGAGGGTCCCACATGGTGCACAGACCTCTCCTGCCACCCGCTTCTCCCCTCAGCAGTGTACTTCGGTCCTTCTGCCTGCTCTGCTCCCTGCTCTGGCTCTGGTGAATTCTCTCACCCTCCTGCGCTTCTGACTGTACCCAGTGCTTGTATAAACAAATAAATAAATAAATCTATATATATAAAAAAAATAAAATGTTCCCTTATTCCCTGCTATGTATTAATTGCCCCTTTTGTATGTTTTGTGCCAAAAGACTTCTCTAAATCTTTTGTATTGTAGTGTACATTTTCATAAGGAGGCACCAAATACATGTGGTGATTCCTATACTTATTTGACCTTTCTCATGGAGCATCCTTTGGGCCTGTTCCCTCCTTCCCTCCCTCCCTCCTTCCCTCCTATTCTTCCTCTTTCCTTTTAGTTTCAGAGCACTCTGGAAAATAGTGCATTAATACCATTGCTGCAGTGTTGTCCCTTAAGGCTCTGCCTTAGCCCTAGAGCTGATTCTCAACCTATTTATCATAGTATACTTTTCTATTTACAAAGTAAAGGTGTCGCATCATATGGGCAGAGGATGGTCTCTGTGTTATAACATTACAATAGTTAGGACACTGGAAGCAATTTTACCACAGGTATTCTAGTTGAACTCTCTGGGTAGGGTGCCAGGGTTTCTATGATATTGTTTCTGTTGTATTACTGACTCAGATGTGTTCCAACAAGGGTTTATGCCTCAGTTTCCCTAGAGGTAAAACAGAAAGGAATAATACTTACCTGATAGCTCCCAGAGTGCTGGCAGATGGATTAGGTAATACCTGCAGTCTGACCTGAATTCTGCAGAGACAAGAATTCTAAAACACTAGCCATCAATGTTTGTTATAGACAAAGACTTCAAAGTGCTTTTCATGTATTTTAATTGAGTGTTTAGGTAATTACATAACCAGACTATTAAGTCCTTTTGAGAAAAGATAAAAATACGAGTCAGAGTAGTTCACACTGACTTATGCACATGTTGAGGAAAGTCAAACCTTGTGACAAAACTATTG